CACACACACACATACATTCCTTTCTTCTCTTTCTTTTCCTTTCTCTCCTACCGCCTAGCAAGAGCTACCGAGCTACACGAGCTTACCATTTCAAACCGAGGCTCTCCTTCTCCTTCCATCTTTATATTCGCATCCAAAAAATTCTGTCCGACATGATCGGCTAGGTTGTTGCTGTTTGTAATGGTGCTCGCAACTACCAAAAAATTAGGGTTGGGACGGACAATCACTTACCTTGTTGCTCTTGATTTAATTCCGTATTACTAGCATGAGATGGTCCTGGCATCCCACCTTCTAATGATCCTCCACCCCCTCCTCCACCTCCTCCTCCTCCTCCTGCTCCTCCACCTACAAAAATGTAAATTAATTTAGAAATGCAAAATATTTTTTCTATAATCCATATAGAATTGTAAAAATGATGTGTTTCAAATTCAATAAATTAAATAACATACTGATTAATGCAAATCATAACTACCTTGATAGGAAGGTGGATAAGATGGCAAAACTTCCATGCCACCATCAAGGCTAAGAAAACCACTTGGCAGTGTGTTGACCTCCTGTTTTGGAGAACAATCATCATCGCTTCCATATTCTGGTAATTCTATTTTTGGCTAAAATAAAAATTATTATTACTATTATTTCTAAGGAAACAAAAATTATTCTATTAATAATTGACTTCCATTAATGATAAATTTATAATATATTTATAACTCTATATTCATTGTATGCTCGTATGTATTAAAAAGTATACATTTAAATAGCCAATATGGAAAATCGAACTAACCTCAACAATATCGAGATCTTTATAACAGTCAAGTTGAACCTGTGGCTCAATTAATGGCCGTGTGCGTGGCGTTCCAGTTGCACAGGCCGCCGCAGCTGGTACTGGACTAGATATTTGAGGCGAATCACTTCGTTTGCACAGCCTTTTTAGTGGTGGAGGACTCGAGGTTGGTGGAGTTTTACTACGATCCTCCTCCAAATTTGGTGAGATCAGCCCACGGCCATTTGATGCGTGTATGTTGTTTGTCTTCAAATGCTAGAAAAGATAAGTTGAAATTACATAATTGTATTTTAAACAAATAAATGATTATTTTAATATCAAAATTACTAATACAGAAATGTTTAATACAGAAATATTATTATATAATATACTTAGTACAGAAATATTTTCATCGATATCCTCTCATTCATATTTTCATATTTTACATCAATGTATATTCATTTCATATAACTATTCTAATGTGCATTTTCATTACATTTTCACTTAATATTAACATATTAATAAGTTATTCAACCAGCACTAATACTAATTTAAATATTTTCAATTAATTTTTAATATTAAAGATAATATAAACAATATGTACCATCCATAAATTTTTGAAAACAAACCTTTTCGTTGTTGTGCTGATTATTTTGAGAGTCAGTGAGGCCACGGATTTGTAGAGACTCAGCAGTTCTTAGAAATGTAGGCAATTCTGCTTGAGATATGTTAACCTCTCCAGCATACATGAACTCCAAAAGTGACTGCAGATGTTCAAATTCCACATCACGCATGAATATTATTGGATGTTTGCATGGATTTGTCTATAAGAACACATTATATTTATTTAATACATATTTGTAGACATGATTTTTATTTTTATATTTAGTTCTGTACCAAAATTATTATGAAATAAATCAAATAGCAATCAAAGACAATAAATATAAATTAGAAATATATTTATAAAGCAAATATGTCAAATAACAATTATATGTCTTGGTAATGAAATTATAATATACAAAATCAAAGCAGTATTTATAAAACCTAAAAGAACAAATACCAATTTTATCAATAAAATGATTATTAAGTTTTTTATTTTTTTAATTATATCAAAAGATGTAATTTACCATATAATATCATTACTTAGAATTATATATTACTTGGAATTATATATAGCTATAATAACATCAATATTATTATATTTTGTTTTTGAAATATAAATAATTTTAATATATAAAAATAACAAAAAATGAAATTTTGAATATATTTGTAGATTTAATGTATAATAAAAGTATGAAGATACTAAAAAATATAATAATACAAAGAATGAAACATAATGTAACATTGATAAAAACTGTTATTCTTGTTTTCTATTAGTATTTATACCATCATAAATTTTAATTTATAATTTCATAATTTTTAATCTGGCTTTAATCTAAAGAAGTCATTATATCTGATTTACAATATAGCTTTATTATCTACAATATTAAAAAAAAATAAAAGTTAAAGCATGATCTCATGATTATACATCTCCACGTAAAAATCACAGAAAGCTATTCATTTCCATCTTATTTAATATAATAATTTTTGTTAAATTAAACATTGTGTCTTCAAAAGGTTTCAAAATTACATTATATTTAATGATAATATATTTATTTAAATTCACAAATTTCTCTTCATTTTGCATGAAGTATCAAATTCAACACTATACATAAATAATATTATCATTCTCTTTTTAATAGGTTAATTAAGTTGACGTTTTAGAAATAAAAATGTAATTTAATATATTTAAGTATTCGAAAGTAACAAGATTGTATGATTAATAACTAAAGCATACAGAATATTATAAAATTTACTTCATACAAAATTACATAAGTAAAGTCGACGTATGCCAAACTATAAAAAAATATATATAAATATAGAACAAAATACAAATTTTAATTTTGACGTAGGATACAAACTTAAAACTGAAAATAAATAATATACATAATTTTGAATTAAGAGTGTTGTTTTATATTGATAATAAATTCATTATCATTAGCGTTAGAACTGGCATTAACATTGGAAACATTGAAATGCAAATTATACACTACCAGTGAGTAGTACTTCTAACTGGATTTTAATTTTCTTTTTGTCACAATTGTCGACAATTATGTAAATAATATACTAAATTTATCAAAATTAACAACGCTGAGGTCGATCGAAATGATCATTGAGAATTGAGAAGTAAATGATCACCAAGAAGCATTCTTATAGTGCAAAACTATATACAAAAATATATAGGAACATTACGACATAGTGTCACGACGTGATACACGAGAATTATGAATAAGAACTTCAATTTCAACCATGTTTAAAGCAAAGCATGAGTCTCAAAGAAGGTAAGAATGATGAGCTAAAGGGGAAGGAAGGGAGGAAGGGAGGGAGGGAAGGTGGAGGGGAAGGGGGATGGTATGTGGGAACATCGAGGAATTAGCACTGAGAGAAGCAAGGCGGGGAAGGTTTTCTAACCTTGAACAACTCCTTGAAGTAAGGGCTGCACGCGGAGAGGACAACCTTGTGCGCCTGGAGACGCCTACCGTCGCAGGCTAAGGTGACATCGACGAAGTCCTCGTCATCCCTGAGGGCCTCGAATTGGCTGGTGATATTAGCTTGAAAGTTGTTCCAACGCAAGCAAAACTGCTGCTGGCTATCCGTCATTCTCCTCGCTCGACTCCCTTCGACCTCCTCTCTCTCCCTCTCTCACTTAAAACCGAGAGCCCCCCACCACCCACCCTCTGTCCGTCTCTCTCTCTTACTTTCACCTTCTTCTACGTCTGTCTTTTTCCCTCCTTTTCTTTCTTACTGATGGCGGCGTTGTTCCTTCCTCGTTGCACACTTCGACTCCTCAAGTGTACCTTTCTTTGTCTTTTTCTTTCTTACTTGCAGGAGACACTTCAGAAATTTTCGAATGGTATTGAATATGAAAGATTCATTGAGACGAAGAGGGTGAGGGTGGTCTCGCAGGTCAGGCCTGTTTTACTGCACCCTCGTGCTACTAGTTCGAGATGAGGCTCTCATTACTCTGGAAAAAAAATGGCAGGTGCAAAAAGTGCAATCGATGACTGAAGAGGAGGTGTGTACGTGGGGAGAATCGATAGGCGGCCTACCAACATTAAGAAATAAACGAAACACATGTTCGTGTATAGTACTTTTTATAAATATCTTAACATTTTTTTATCATTTTCATTCCGATCGGATGAACGTTTAAAGAACGACCACTGCTCTCTGTAGTTTGAACATTTAATCTTAAAAAAAAACCTACGACCTGAAAAACACTCAATCTTATTAAGTTACTAGAAATGTACCTAGATATTTTCACAATTTTCTCGTTTCTTTCTTTTCTTTCCAGAAAGTAACATTAAAAAACGTGTGCTTTTCAATTAACAAAAACATAATTTTCAAAAAATCTGTGTTAGTATTTGATGCAAATATTAGTGACTTTGATGTTTTTAAACACTGAAAAATTAGAAAAAAGAAAACTAATATTTTATAAAATTCTCAATCAGGTTTAAAAAGATTGATGTCTAGTGATTTTCATGTTAAATTGAATATTTTACAGCAAAAGCTTTGAAAATAAATATATTTGTATCAATGCTATTTTGGATTGTTTAAATCATAAATCTTCATTCTGATTAAACATAGATTTCTCATCGTAAATCACATTACATAAACATTGCAAAAAATTTGAAATTTATGAAATGTCGTACTCACTATAAAACCTGAAAAACATATCAGTGAAAAAATTTATGACAAAAATGGACTGTTAGTATTGAACGTATGACAAATAACATTTCATGATTATAATTTCATGATACGTTCGTAAATTTTACAAATTTTTTTTAAATATCTAGAAAACAACTGATAAAGATACAATGTATTTTATGTATGATTAAAATTCAGTTTAATTAATTATGTTTAAAACCAATGTATTGCAATCTCAAGAGAAAAAAAGTTAATAAACGAATAAAAAAATTTTTTTAAGTTACATAAGAATATTCTAATTTAAATTCTATATTGTTATAGCGTAAATATAAAGTATATTATATCCTTCACATTCATATTTTATATTTTCAAAAAGTGGGGATTGAATTTTCATTATGGGACAACGTAGTGAATATTTCCGTGATTGCAGGTAGTTCCTCCAAGTCCCGTCTTATCCTAAACTAACCAAATTTTATCCCCCATTTTATCTTCATAGCTTCGAACAGTTTCGGGCCGCTATGAACGCTCGAATTTTGTTCGCGAAATAATTTCTTTGTTTAATTTCTTCCTCGTTATATCGCGATAAATGTGAAAGAGTTTTCACAGGAAGTACAGTAATTCGGGCAATTGACAATTATGTGACGTTAGTAAAAAATGTCAAAAAGACAGGTGAGTCAAATCTTTGTTTTTTGTTCTTTGTTATATTTTCGTGTATTTTTAGTGTATCATTCTCATTTCTTAATCATTCATTCGTTAAAATTTAACCGGGAAGAGATTAATACATACGACAATAGAATTCAATTGAAGAAATTACAATCGTTGTTTTTAACCTCATTTTGAAAGGTTACTGCGGACGACTCAATCGATACATTGTCCTCGAATTTCATTTTCCTAAGTAACAAGTACAACAAATTGCTTGTTAATCATTTGAAATAATGTTGTTATGATTTCCGGTAGTTCTTCACAACAAGGAAATATTCTGTTTCTTCTATTTGAACATATGTCTGACGAATAAAAGATAACTGTAACCTTCGTTAGGTTAACCTTTAAAATATATTTTTTGGATCTTATTTAATACGTAGCAATGTAATCTGAATTTGTTGCTTGTATTTTTTAATTTTAAATTGTATAAAGCGAAATAAGTGACATTAAACAGAATGTTTCTTTTATATTTTAGAATATTATTTAAATGTTCACTTTAGTAACTTAGTTTCAAAATACCATTGTTTTCAAATATAGATAAAAGATAAAAATTAAGAAAATTATAGGTATTAAGGACATAGAAATTAAGAAAATTATATTATAAAATACCATATAAAATTTTAATTTAGAAGTGTGTGTAAATTATTTAGATTATTAATTATATAATATTTATTTAATGTATAATGCATTTGTATTAAATATCTACTATCGTAATCAAATTCTGTAATATCAAAAAAGAAATCATAATTTGAAAACTCAAAATATGTTTGAAATTTTTTTATTAATTTTCTTTGTAATCTTCAGTCTCAGATCTAACTCTCACATCTAACAATATTATCTTTTTTTTTAATTTTATAAAATGTAAAAAAAAAAAGATAGTTATGATTATGTTAATATCACTTGGCATAATTTAAATATTGAATTTAAATTATCTGAATTTATTCATATATTTTAATAAACCAAAAGTTTGATAAAAGATAAAATTAATCATGTAGATTATAAAAGTGTATTATAGGATTATCAAATTGAACACATCTCATATTTAAGTAATTTGTATATAATACATCTCATTTAAGTAATTTATATATTTTTTTATTTTATTATTTCCTTTTATGTTGGTTCAAAATATTTCTCATTTCTTTTCAATTATATCAGAATATTATAATAATAAGTAAATTTTAAAAATATTAATCTAAATTTTTGTAGTGTATTACGTTGTATCAAAAGAAATTAAACCAACTTTGTTAAAGTAATTGTACGGTTTCTTTTATGTTTGCAGAATTTATACAGTGTGTTGTTTTGGTGATCATTGTGGTTTCCTTACTGGAAACCAAAAATTTTATACTACGTCACGGTGAGTTTCTAAGTCATTTTTAAACTGATTACATAATCTTTAACCATTAAGTAAAGTTATTTGATAAATCTATTTCATGATCACTTGAATGATTTATTTTCAGTAAACATTTTAAGTAATGTATAATGTAGCGTTCATCAAATTATCATTATTAAAGTTTGTAAAATACTAAAATTCTTCTGAGATATCATTATTCTACTAACATGTAACTAATATAACAAATATGTAACTTTTTTAATGAATAAGTAAAAGTTCCTTACCTTTTGATAAATTAGTTGTAATTCTAATAGTTAAACAAATTACAATTCCAAAACTGTCGAGTGGAGTATTGGTCACCAATAAATTAGCTCAACTGTTATACCATATCAGACAACAGTTATTTTAATCTGAATAGATACAATTATCTTACTAGAATAGTACACTCTCTGAAAAAAAATTGAACAAATTATGTTAATTTGTGATTATATGTTTATGTTTATATTGATAATACCGTAAGCTTATTTTATAAACATTATAAAATTTCTTGCATTATTTCACTTTTAAAAATTGATTTTGCTTTGAAGGTTATAAAATAGTTTCTTATATTATTTTACTTTTGAAAGCTCATTTTGTTCTGAAGATTATGAAACAATTTCTTGTATTATTTTACTTTTAAAATTCTTTTTGTAGTGTGTTATATCGCATCATATTTTTAATATATTCTAAACTCATTTCCAATTATGTTATATAAAATTGTCTTATAATGTTGTTCTAGATCAGTTCATTATCTTTCTATGTATTACTTTTTTGGAACTTTTGGTAATATTTTCTAAATAACTTTTTAAATAAATAAAACTTGTTTGAGTTGTTTAATTTATTCCTCGTATTGTATTTTTTTTTTATTTCTTTTATTATTCCTATATCTTTTATAAAACTTATGAAACATTTATATTGATGATATTATTTTCGATTTTATTGAAAAAGTAAACATAATAATAGTTTTGCCGGAAGATGTTAAAAAAATTTTTAGATTTTTGAATATGATTGTACAGTTGTTATCGGCTTATGTTAAGTGATAACAGGAATCGAAAAAGAGAGTTTCATTCGTGTTTCAGCTAGGTGTTCAGAAGTCATTTAGAAGTTGAGTTCTACGTCCAAAAGTTTTACGATATCTTTGTTCGTTTTGCCCTGCGATATTTGATTTATACGCTTGATAGAAATAAATATTCAACTTAAAGTGAAATTTGAGTTAAGGAATCTTTGGAGATTTATTATTTATTTCAATTAATAATCTTTTTGTTGTGTAATACGATCAAAGAGATTTTTTTTTTTTTTAGAAATACATTCAGAAAAAAATTTAATAATTACGGAAGAAATAATTTTTAAGTCTTAACCATAAATTTAATTTAACAAGGAAAACTTTATTTTTCGTATTTGTAATATATTTATATATATTGTTTATATTTAATTGATTCATTTCGAATAACTTAAAACAATATCGAATAATTATATTTAAATAAAGATTTAACAGTAATAGAACTTTCAAAGATATTTTCTATTTTTAATTCTTTATTATCGTTATTCGTTCTTAAAAAGATCTCACAGTATAAAAATAAGTATATATCGGGGAAAGAAACGAACATTTATCTTTATGTTGAGAGTCAGGTGTATGTGTCGACAAAAGTATTCTTGGAGGTGATAGTTTGCAATTGTTTTAAAACATATGTTGCTCCGAGGGATTGCATTCGCGGAAGCAAGACGAAATTCCGCTAGACGTATTTTAAAACCTCAAAATTCCGGTTGCGAGAAGGATAACCCTGAATTGATTTACGATGGAGTCTTCCAGCGTAATTTGGAATCAAAGGCAAATATCTATACACAATCAATTAGCGAATGTAGTTCGTCTACTCCTCTTGTAAGTTTTCATTTATGCCTGACACTATCTTAAAATAATAAAAATTAGTTTTATACAAAACGATGGAATGTATAATGCATTCTTAAATTAAATATATTACATAAATTTTTGCACAATTTTTATATAGTTCAACGACT